TATTTGCATTGCTTTGCTCACTAGCTCTTCCCTTTTTTTCATGAGTTTTACTGTGGCCTCCTGATGAGATCAACTTTTAAAAAACTTGATAGTGTTTCTTGACTTTTTTTTAAAAATTATATACCTGTATATACCGAAGATAAAAGAGTCTGCATACAAGGGTAAAATTTAAATGACTTCTTCCGCATTTCTGTGTATGTAGGGTCTATTATATGTAAAAAAAAACAAGTGCAAATGAAAATGGAGAAACAAAGAGTATTGTACAGGGTGGGCCAAAACAACAAAGCAATCATTTTTGGTGAGCTGTCAATCTGATAGTAGGCTGCTGACCCTGATGAAATATGGTAGGCACATAGGGTGACTCAATTAGGATTTGTTTGCCAAGTTTCAAATCAAAATTCCCAAAACTGAGAGATTGTCATTTAATTTTCTTTCTATCATGAAAAAATGAAGTGTTCTTTTTTTATTTCAGCTTAAAATTTCACACAACTGACAAAAGTAAACAGAGAAAAAACAAAATGCACAAATGCCAAAAACGAAAGTACAAAATTTGGTTTAAGTAGGTTCATTTCAACTAAAAATGTGATCAATGTGCCCTCCATTCTGTTGAACACAAGCCTCAAGTCTGGGATGCCACAGATCAATGGCTCAGTCAATGAATCTTTGAGGCAGTGCCTCCCAATCTTCCTCTGTAGTATCATGCAGGAATGGAAGGTTGCAAATTCGGTCCTCCCTTTCATCCCAGCCTCAAGTTCATATCAATATTTTCAACAGCACATCTTGTGGTGGTCATCAGGAAATAATTACAGTTCCTAGAATTTAATAGTCAGAAGGCTGAAATTAAGTATAAAAAGTGCAATTGTGTCACCCTGTAAGCCTACAAAATTTAATCAGAATTGGCACCATACAATGAGATTGATGACTCACCAAAAGTGACAGCTTTGTTTTTTGGCCCACCCCGTATATGTAATTGCTTATATACATGGGCCCAACAAAAAGTTCCAGGACCAGCTTTCATATGAGCAAACTATGCACAAAAATTGGATGTCACTATGATCCTCTTTGAAAGAGTTCCCTTGACACTTCTCCCATTTTTATAAAGAGATTGGAACACTGGCTATAACCAATCTTGTCAAACTTCAAAGGATTGGTCACAGCTCACAGACACATCATTTTGGGAAACAACATGATGTTGCATCACACAATGTCTGGTGAGTACCCATACAGAAAGATCATTTATGATAGTTATATGCAATTATCTGTGCCTCATAAATTCATTAATTTTTCATGCATTGAAATATGAACAAACACCCATATATGGGTCATTCTGTGTTAATTCGTGCCTTATTTAGTATATATTTTGTACTTATATGGCTTATTCATTACTACAGGCCCCCAAAGGAGTCAAAATTTTGGGGGGTCAATACAAAGTTGTAGAGGGACTCCATGTTACTAAATAGAATTTCTGTTGCATCTCGCAGCACAGAAAACCCATTAGCATATATATGATATATGATAGACCCTGTATGTCTCGTATATGCCATTGTGCTGCAAGGTGCAATGGAAATTTTCCGTTGCACACAACAGACAACACACACACACACACACAAACACTCTGAAATATAGTACAGATAGATAGATATTATATATGATAAACCATATATGTCTCACATATGCACATTTCTCATGAAACCATGTGATTTTTCTGTATGGGTACAAAGAACATGGGAGCAATGTCACTCTGTGATTGGTTAGAAATTCCAAGAAACTGCAATGTCACTCATTGATAGTAGTTTGTCATCTCCAATGGATTTTCACACTTTGCAAAATCGTTTGTGTCACTCACACGAGAATTAGAGGGATTACTTTGGTCACAGAGAAATGACCACAAAAAAGTGGCTTAGCAGCACAAGTTTAAATAGCTTGCAGGTAGGCCATTGATATAACTTCAATTTTCATGAGACCCTGTAAAAAAAAATTGGGAGACTTTTGTTCTACAAGTGTTCTAGTCTACATATGCTTCCCGTCATGCATTCATTAAATCTAGACCTACACCTGATGAGAAATCTGAACCATACAAAACCTAGTGACAAAGGTTACAGTAAGAGTGGATTTTAGAGGGCAGTATACTCTTGGTCCCATGTTGAATCCCTCCTGAAATCATATGCTTACTCGAGACCTTTATAAAAGCAATGGACCCAAGAGAGGTCACATGCTTGTACTTCAGATTGGTTTCAGAGTTTTGGTAAAGATCTATGGCAGTTATGTTACATCATGGGAGAGTGAAAAAGTGAGAGTTCAATGACACGGGTTCTATTCTGTGACACAAAAAAGTCATATGAGGGGAATCCTTCAGCATCCCTAGTTACTGGCATGGACTTGGCCAGGAAAGAAGAGTGACTTGTATCAGTTGTTTCAGTGTTTCTTGAAACTAGCAACCTTGATGCATCATTGAAAATTGATAACATGGAATTGGAGGAAATATAAAAATGAAAATGACATGCATGACAGAATAATTTGACAAACTTACTTCTTCTTTGAGCAAGGAAAGGAAATGTGAGTATCTACCCAAAAGGGCCAGAGTGTGTAATCTGAAAATGAATGCAATGGTAATGGAGTCACTTCCATCTGAGGCTAAAAAAAACTTTGAAGCAAAACAACATCCAAATGGAACTTACCAAGATCAAAAACAAGCAGCTTGGGCTTGTCTGGGTTCCCCTTTTCCCTTGACATGGTATGTATTCAAATTTCATCAACACATTCAATGTCAGCTGCCAAAGTAGGCTTGAATAAACAAAATTAATGAACAAATTTCATGATGCAGACAAGACTTGAATTTGTAACACATACAAGAATGAGAGGCACTCTGGCATAATTCTTCACGTGTTATTAGCCTCAATGAGGAAAATTTTAATAAATCCTCATCAGGAATGAAATCCTAATGAGGCCTTTTTTATTGTTGAGCCCTCATGGTTTCATGAGTTCATGAAACCTCTGATTCAACCAAGTGCATATTTGGAATACATTATTTCCATCACCATGCAGAGTTTGAACAAGAAGACTGCTTTAGTCTTCAACTTCACCATTAACATTCACACAACAGGAAATTGCCAACAACATTTGAACATCAGGAACAAAATTTCCTTTTTTTTCACCAGTTTGGTATCAGGAGGTACCAAATACTATTGCATGAAAACAGTGATAACATCAACAAATTCTGGTCCTCCTCCCATACATTATGTTGTTCTACCCTGTTCTCATGGAAGGTAGAGAAGGCACTCCTTGCATTCAGAAAGGGATTCCTGCATAATTTGGCAGCTTAATTAGTAAAGGTGTAAGACCTGGCATTCATAAAGATTTAAAAAATATTAAAACAATTACTGCAATTGGAAAAGCTTCAGAGCAAACAGAATGGACAGAATGAAAATTAGAGCAGTAATTTGTACTATTTCTTGCAATAACATGATAGAACTGCATGTGTCTTTCGAGATGAATCTCTCTAAAGGCATATCTAGAATTGGGGAATACTAGACTAAATTTTTAGAGTAAACTTTTATAGTAGTGAGTCATTTCACATGGCAGATGTCCCAAAACTTTTCATGACCAGAATTCAGAGCACTGTAAGCAAAAATCCAAATAACTGAATAAATTTACTTGTAAATAGGTAAAATGCATCATTCTTAAGTTTTCCTTGGAATCCATTATAAATATTTTTTATAGTTATTTGCTCAACACCTATTTAAAAAAAAAAACAAAATGAATGCAGATGAGTCATGTGTCCATTGGTGATATGCATATTTGGATTGCAGCAGCTTAGCTTTTCCAATTGACATGGCTGTACAGAAGACATACAGTCATCCATAATTCTCCCATGAAAAAAACCACCGCTTGACAAAAAAAAAGATTAAATGGCTAGGGCTGAAAATAAATGAAATACTGGAATATTTGTCACCAACAAAGCAGCCCATAAAAAAGAAAGTCAAATGGGACTTCCAAAAATGAGTCAATTTTGAATAAAAGTAATCAAAGTGCAAAAGCAAGTCTTCCAAGGAGAAAATCCAGCCTCCTTGTTTTCTCCAGGCCTAATCTGTTCCATACCTCTACCCTGCTGTGTTCTGGTATCAAGATTACTTGCACATGATCACTGGATATATAATCTATTTTCAGACTAAATGGCATCTTAGGACTCCTGATCATTCTATGCAACACATGCCATGAGGCATTGCACCTAAGGCTACTAGGTGGGATGAGATTTTTCAGTTACCACAGCCTGCATTCATTTTGCAAAAAAGCAAGACCAGCAACACAATGATGTCTGAGATTCCTAAATTCCCAAGTCTTGCTTCCACACCCAAAAATGGGATTTAATAATTCCAGCTTGAAAACCTGGTTGAGAGGAATACAACCAGATTAAGGAAAGTGGTTAAAATTAAGTCAAGCATCATTTCCAGTTTCATCTCACAGCTCTGAAAGAAATGATCATGATAATGTGTTTAGAAACATTTGCACTGCAGTGAAAATATGCATTTCTTATCAACTTGCACAGTTTATTTAGTCCTAGTAATAGCTCAAGAGTTACTGGTAAAGATGCATACCATGTATCACTGCAAATGGAGATTTCCCATTTGAAAGTGAGGTGTTTCTCCTAAGCTGGAGGGTACTTCTCCCAATGAAGGGCACAGCACTAAATCAAATGTTCATATTTGGAAAAATGTGCACAAGAGCAACATAATGCAAAACTGTGACAATGAAAGACAGGCATAAACTGAGAAAAATAAACAGGACAACAATTTCCTGCCCAGGAAAACCAATTGATAACAGAGAAATAAAAAAATTTGATGTAGAATTTTAATAGATGTTATTCCTGACCATCCCACATTGTGAGGTGGAAGTAAAAATTTTATGTGAAGAAATGCTCTCAAGTATTTTGTAATGCCAGGCAAAATACATGAACCACATGTTATGTCAAGTCAGCCTCTGTCTAAAAGAAGGAAGCACATCTATGCTGCATCTTGTTGCATAGGAACAACTCCTTGAATGCTTCCTCTTGGGGCAAAGAGCTTGTGTGTCCTTGCAGGAGCATCCAAATCTTCTTCCTCATCAGGACAACCCTCATCTTCCATTTCTTCCTCCCTACCCCAGCCACCTCCCCCTGGAGTCTCCAGTCTAAACACATCCTGTAGGGCACAAACATTTTTCTTACTTGATTGCATTATCTGGTCAACATATTAGGAATTCCAGGAGAATTGTTCACAAACCCCAGCCACAACTTCAACGGTAGTTTTGGACCCCAGATTGATGATGGTGCGATTTCTTCTCATAAGGAGATTCAGACCCCTGGTTCCTTTCTGACCACCTTCCATCCCATATGGAGCAAAGACTCTCCGGTCTGTCAACACTGACAATGTTTGAGGTCTTCTAAAAAGCAGCTCTCGTACAATGCCCTGCCCTCCACAGAATTTTCCTCTACCACCTGACTCAGGTCTCAAGAGAAAGCACCGTAAAATGACAGGGTACCTAAAAAAAAAATAAGCAGGTTTTGGTGCAGATGTACCCTAAAAAATCCATGCAGAGCTCTGAAGTTATGCTACCTTCTTTCCAGTATTTCAGGATCAGTAATCCTTGTGTTGGTCATATGGGTGTGGACACCACTTCTCCCCTGCCAGTGTGGACCCTGACAAGCAATGCAAAAAGCTTCATCAAAAGCATATTGAAAGCTTCCAGAGAAAACGAAAAATCCAAAGTCTTATCAAATACTTTTACTTAAAGACAATATGTCCACATTACAGATTAGAAAATGCAGGGTGTTCCCACATGAACAGTGTGACACACAGCACCTAGATGCCACAGGCACTCTCTAGTGACATTAGCAAGTTGTGACTTAACAGGACCCTGCTGGATGCAATTCAGGATAATAATTCCAATTTAATCCTTTTGGCATATCCAATGCATGAATGAACTCCCCAAAAAATCACTTTCAGCACTGGGTGCATGTTAAAAATACCTGCCATTTATGTGTTTACAAAATTATCGCTCATAGCTTTAAAAAAAAGAAGTAATGTCTAAAGTCAACATATGTCTAGTGTACATAGATGCAAAATAGGGAATCCTTTGCCGCCTGTATGCGGAGTACCCTTGGCGCCTTAGAGCCCACCGGGTTGCATATCTGCAAGGAAACACACCAGGGATAGGTTTAATCCTTCCAGATATGCAACCCGGTGGGCTCTAAGGCGCCGAAGGTACTCCGCATACAGGTGGCAAAGGATTCCCTATTTTGCGTCTAACTATGAACACCCTGTACATATAGACAGGCAACACAACAAACTTTACTGGGATAGAATAAACAAATGCTTAGATATCCTGGAAAATTGCTCTGCACATGGTTGGAATGTTGCCATTTCTGAGGAAAGTGCCACTTTCTCCCATTCCAAATACTTGGAGTACTGCATTGCAACTATGGAAACTTTTTGACTGCACTTTATATATATTAGGTCACTTCATGACTTCATTATGAAATAACTTCATTAATTATTGCTACTAATTCCCCTTGTTATATCTTTACCTACACAGCTCAATGTGTTCATGGTTCTCTTTTAGTAAATGAAATTTTTTTAAGGATTAGAGGCCTAGGCTTGCCTTCATTGGAAAAAGGACAGAAGACCCATGATCAGATGGTATGAAACCAATAGCGTGATGAAGTCGCCTGAACATTGTTCTTGAAAATTGGAACTCCACATCAAAGCATTCTCCAGTGTAAGATTGGTGAAAGGAAGAATGGAACTTGAGGAGAATGCTGTGGTTCAGGACATCATGAATGACACCTTGGTATCTGTTTCCTGGAATTGAGCAAAAAAATCCCCAAATTGCAAGACACTGTATAGGTCTCACACTCATAGGAACATTAGCTGCAGGGTTTATAAGCCCACCAGAAGTAAACTTCTTGAGTTGGCAGTATAGTTGCCTGGGGTAAGTGGGAACCCCCTTGTTTTTTCAGTTGATATCAACTATAAGGTGAAGTTGCCTGTTTTTTCATAGCAATCATGTAGTAAGCTGTCTTGCACAATATATCCTACCCTCCTTTACCAGGTATTTTTTTAATGCCAGAGACAAATGCCCAATCATGGCAAACAGAACTGACACAAGAGTGCAGGGCTGATACTTTGAAAAAGACTTAGAGCCACCTCAAAGTGAGTTTTCATGAAAAGTCAATGTTCAGCCAAAAGTTTATATAAGACTACTTTACTGAACCTATTGGGTGAGGTAGGTACCTTTTGGCTAATACTCTATTTGTGAGGGGGGGGGGTCAACTCGCCCCAGCAAAATTCACCAAATGGGTCAAGAGGGATCCTCCTCCCCCTATCATCAAACCATGTAGACGTGAGTGATTGGCTGACTGACTAATTCTTATCATGTTCTAGATATGATGGGAAGATAAAATTGTGACAACTTTAGCTGTTGTGATGCTGAGTTCAGAAAAAATTTTACTTCTGGATGTGTCCCTGAGGCTAGTACTTTTTGGGGTGATACTTCCTCAAAAAATATTTCTTCCCTCCAGCAAAACTTTAATATACTATGTGATGATCAGAGAAAGCTGAAATTCAGTGCAAAAGTAGTTCTTGGGTTTCTGATTTGAGGAAAGTTTCTACTTCCTTTGGAAACATTCCCTGGGAGTACAATTTGTTTAAAGGTTTTGTTTTTCAAAAATATATTCCTTCCAGCAAAATTGGCCAATACAGCATTTACCTTTGGCCTTTTGGTGCCTTCTTGATATAGTGTTTCCAACTATGCAGTGCTGTCAGGCCCCAGTTGGAAAGGAAGGCCTCAATGGAGGAAACTGTGTCTTGTGTAGAACAGCATTACTCAAACTGTGGGTTACAACCCCCAGGGATTGTAAAGTGGTCACAAAGGGATCATGGGAGAATCAACAAGATGCAGCATATCTAATCTTTCACAGCTTTTGCCAAGATGCAGCATATCTATTCGTTCACTACTTTTGCTAAATCAGACCGAATCACCAAGAGAAAAATTATATAGTTTTTTTTTGCTATTATTCAGAAGAAACTATAAGGAGAAATAGCCCAGTAACCATCTCATCAAGGAGATAGTTGAAAACCTGGTGAATATAGAGCTACAAAAGCAAGGGGGCCTCAATGCATTAAAATTTTTCAGGCTTAGAGGCCTTGAAGGCTTATGAATTTACCTTTTGTTATGTTCTCCAACAAATGCATGATCATTTGGTACTTGTTCATGCACAGATAAAACCACAAAAATTTTCAAGGGCCAGACACTGCAATGTCTCAAATTCAGGTATTCTCGTTTCAGGAATTCAAAAGATTTCTGTATAACATCCACCTCATTTCAATAAAAATTTCCTTCGTGTGTCACTATTTTTTTTCTTGTTTTTCTAAAGTTAAGGGAAGTTTGGAGTAACATAGTATTTCCACTTTCACTTTCATGCATAGACAAGTCATATCAAGTCTTCTGCATCAAAAAAATACCACCCCAAAATATATAAACTTTACACTTGAAATCTCAATTCTGTGGTTTCCTTGGTTATTTTTTCCTTCCTCAATAATTTTAGCAAAAATGTTCTATCTGAAGGTAAGGAAGAACATTCCCCTTGTTTGGATTATTGCTAAAGAAGAGCATGAATTCTCCAAGGAGTCCATGGTTTTACTGAAAAAATGTGATCACTACTTCTGTATTTTTTTTAATATTGTGTTGATCATGTATTTGATGTCTATAAATTTATGGGGCCAAAAAATTGGGTTTTCCAGGCTGTTGGTATCCATGAAAAGGGTATTGCAACTGAAATTGAGAATACCTGGAATAGCAGGACTGGAGAGGGATGAGAATAATCAGGTCCCAATCAAATCAGTGACTGTTATGGTCTCTCCCCTCTTCAGTCCTGCTTTTGAATGATGACACTGCATAGACATATAACACTGCAACAAGGATGGAGTCATAAAAAAAATATGTTTTGAGGGACTAATGAGGCACATTTAGAGTTCTACTAAAACTACTGCAACCCAATATATTTAAAAGCTGCATTTTCTTACTATGTTTGAAAGACTGCTGTTCTTTACACCCATCTAGGGACTTTGAGAATTATATGAATAAATGTTTAAAATAAACTTGAGAAAATTTATCCAGGGACATAAAAAAAAAACAAGCTTAGGATTTCTACAGCAGGTTTTACAAAGTTTTAAACAGTAGACTTTCTTTGGTCTAGCCCAGTAGTGCAAGAAAAGCAATCATTCTGAGCTGCTTTCTACATGCTACATTTATGAAAGTCCTTAAGTCACAGCCTTCATAACATGATCATGAACACCACTTTTGTATCATTACTTGTCATTGCCTCATTTTCCACACAACAAAACAATGTCAGATTATCACATTTGAAAAAAAACACACAAAATTGAATCCTAATTGACTCAGTTTAGCACATTCTGCATAGAATCAAATATGTTAAGTGAATGAACAATAAATTCACTCATATAGGATTCCCATTTCAAATTTTGAACCCTGAAACCATAAAACATGTTGTCAAATTGAGCAAACTCATCGAACTACAACCAGAATGAATTCATGACTGCATATCACCCCATAGTTTGAAGCAGGATATTATCTGCCAGCTATCATTACATACATCCATTATTACATTTGTCTCTAAGTGTACCTCTCTCCCTTACATTATCTTTCATTTGCAACATTCAGGAAACAAAGCAAGGGCTTGACAAAAATCTGATTAATCAAACTGCATTTAAATGTAAGCAATACCTAATGATTCAGCTACTGCATTTTTTAATCGACCCATAGCCCTGAATAAGAGAATTCATACTTCTGAAGGGTTCCCAATCAATTTTCTAGCTACTGATCGCAGCAAGACAGAGGCAGAATTCAAAGCATACACTGGCCATAATAATGTAGGGAAGCCTACAAAAGACAGAAAGATGTCAGACCATTGAGCAATTGGCATGGATCAGAGAGGATGACACTATCCCCAATAATCAGAGATGGCCGCTTCTCAGCAAGCCCAGGGACATCCAATTGGAGGAATGATCCAATGGGTTTCAGTGATACATTGTGCATGTCAAATTGCTTCATATGAATGCAAGCACCAATCTCCTCAAGGAATAAGAGTATTCTGAATCGTGAGATGTAGTTCCTGGGACTCAACTCCTCTCCCAAAGCTGATTCATATTCTAGTATGTTCCCCTTCTTCAAAACAAGATCCATTAAGGTCTTTGGTATTGCAAATTGAGGTAGACGAAAAGGAAGGAAAGCTGATGGTTGAAAGATCTTCTGACCAGGAACAACAGATTGGTGGTTTTGAGGGAACATCCTATGATGCATTGCAGGTTGTCTTCTCTTTCTTCCATCTCTAATGCCACCACTATTATGGTATGGTGCCTGAGTGATCAAGTCTTCTTGCAAGGGATCGACAACTCTGACAGTTAAATATCGTCCAATTCTGAACTGAGAGACTGTAAATATGCAGAGATCATGAACATGTCCATATGATGTTCCAATGCACTGAAACATGACAGTGATAAAACCTTGTGGTGGAATCACAATCAACACTTCACCATAACCACTTTGACTTAAAACTTGAAACTGAAGCTTATCTGGATTACCTTGAATTTGTATGGCACCCAAGGAGTGATCAACTGAACTATGATTCTCTATCATGACATTCATTGTTTTCTTCTCTCCCATCATGACAGTCCCAAAATCAATGGTATTAGGAACAATGATTATGCCAGCCTTATTCTCCAGGAGTTGAGACACATGTGGTGATAAAAACATTCCCTGATCTGTAGATTTCTTGGTCAAAATGAAAGGTCGAGCAATCTGACTGAGTACAATAGGAAGTACATTGATTGCTCTCCATCCATATTTTCCCTGATCACTCTCAATGGCCATCACTCGTACATCATCTCCCTTTCGAGGTGCATATTCTTCACTGCACACACCAGCCAAGAAATAAACTTCATTATTAACTACTCCATAGTTCCTTGATATGGCTGTCACATTCCCAACAATTTCTTTTTTGCGCAATGGATGAAATCCCATCACTCTTGTTCCTTTGCCCTCCTCTTTGCAGCAATCCACCAAAATCCAGTCACCTAAGAAATATAAAATAACAGTATACAATGCCAAAGTCATACCATAGTAATTTCACTCATCTAATTGACCTTATGTAAGAAAGTTCCTTACCCCTCCTCTGTATTGCAGTACACCAATCCAATCTCCTAAGAAATGCGAAATGCAGTACTGAACGCATATTTGTATGCAGCATTGTGCAAACTGTGGGGTGTGCACCCCCCTGGGTGGTTGTGAACTTTGGCCTTTACATTGTCTTTATTCTCAGAATTAGGGAGTTGTAGGGTTCAATATTAAATCAAAAGGAAAGATATGAAGAAAAGCACTACAAATTTTGGAAAGTCTGAATCCTGAATTGGCCTTTGTCTAGTGGTATGGCATTATTCTCAATGGCAGTGAAGATAAATTTAACATCATACAACAAAATCCATATTTTTTGTGCTTCTTTTCTAATGCCAACTTAGCCTAAATTGGTCAATTTTTCATGAAATGGAAACAGTAGAAGGGGGAAGGTGGGGAAACACATGGATGAAAAGGGGGGTGCAACCTGAGAAGTTTCTGCACTGTTGACTTTTTGCATTATCTGATGTAGAGAAAAAGTCAACTTTACCAGAAGTAACCTTTTTTGAAAAAATTATTGCATTTGTTCAAGAGAAACATGATACAAGGTCAACACAGACAGAATATTGACTGCGGATTATAAATAAGAGTATGAGCGGGTAGAACCACCCTTGGCTTTGATGAAATTGATAAAATCTACCTTGGCAAAGTTACAATTTTCTCCTCTTCTACACAATGCATCATTCTTGAAATGTTGCTCAATAAAAATAAAACGTAAATATTAGGAATGCACTGGTACCAATCGAAAGTATGGGCATCAGCCTATATGACCAATTCAATCCAATTCTCCCCTGCCACACACCATACTTAATGCCCAAGCATAAATTGAAAAAGACCACTCATAATGGCATACATTTCCTTAACCCTTTCAGACCTGGCATCCATTCAATGGACATTACATTTACATTGTGTCTAAGGCAATGTCTTAGGATTCTTGTGTCTTTGTGCTCCATATTGCACAATAATGGGTGCAATAATGCATAGCTCAGTTCCATCAGATGCCTTCTTTCCCCCATTAGTTTTGCAATCTTCAGTTATTTAATTAAATGTATAATATATAATATATGGTATGATATGGTAAATTTACAAAAAATATGAAAACTACATATAAAGCATGACATTTTCAATTACAATCATTAGGTTTCACCTAGCCAGGTTCAGGGGGAGAGGTCTTGGAAAAACAGAACTGTATCATGGAACATTTGGTGGGGTTCAATTTCATGTTGTTTGCATCCAACCAAGTCTGTTGCTGGTTGAGGGATTCTTGAAGACAAGGCAGGGATGTTTTTGAGTGGGATACTGCTAGGGTTTTGTCGTTGACGTATTTAAAAGTCTGGACGTGGTCTTGGTCTTGAATATCGTCATCAGAGGATGGATGAACCACCTCTCCCCCTTCCCTTCCCCTACATTTAACCCTTCAGTAGCTGCATAGTTTTTACCCCAACTAGTTGTCATGAGGGGAGAAAGGTTACCATAAGCCTATCTGAGGAGCAAACAGAGGCATGATCACTCCAGGTGTTTTGGGAACTTCTACATATGGGAGTTGGGAAGATCACTGAAAGGTACTGAAGTGATCAAGCTCAAGCAATATTACATGAGCATCATGAGCAACATGCTCATGATGCACATGTAATCGCAGGGTTTGAAATAAAATACCCGATGCAACTACTGCAGGATTAAAAACTATTTCCATGGTGTGTGGAAGGAAGTCATAGAATACTTTCCTTGAATCCAAAGACATTAGGTTCAGGGAACCATGTTTCAGGTGGTGCAAATTCATTTGTAAATAATTTTAAATGCAGAAGACATGCCAAGTCTTCATCACCAGTCTCTAAAAGCATTTTTCTTTGAGGACAATGCAATAAATGGGCCATGAATGACTTGAACATGAAATAAAACTCTGACATAAGTTACATAGCAGACACAGACATCAGAAGCTTCATCACTTGTGCATGAGAGAGCTTGAGGCATGGCTGGTCATCTAGGAACAACTGTTCACAAGGATAGAAATCTGCAAAGCAGGGATGGCCACGTAAGGTCTTTCAAATGACATTTTCTCTGTTCAGGCCAGTGTGGTGCATAAAGTGTGATTTACCACATTGACGCCCAGATGTATGAAGTGCACACAATCCCTGTAGCCCAGCCATTTTTCACAAAATACAACACTTTACAAAAAAATATTATACATCTGAAATTAAACTACAGGGTCTTGCATAACCTTTTGATAGGGAGGTATATCCTTAAGTACAAAAGCAACATTGGTAAGTAATATATCAATTTAAACCTCTATTCAACCTGAATAAAGTAATGCATCAATATTTTGCGTGACCTTCATTGGCTTCGCGTACAGCCCTCAAACGTTGAGAGCATAATTTCAGCAAATTTTCAAAATGTTTCCTCTCATTTTCAATTGCATACAGAACATTCTGGCGATTTTGGAGAACTGCTTTAGAATTTCGCCCAGAAATTGCCCCGTTCCGCTGTCACCAGTTCGTAAAACGTGTTTCGTATCCTTTTCCGCCAGTCGCCAGTAACCCCTATCTCACTGCGGTGCAGTTTTTGAGCAATCCATTTTCGATTGATTAACGTTGCTCTGCATCCATTGCTTCTCGATGGGCTTGATCGAGTGCGGTCTATCCCACATTGTCCTGCATCATCGCCAACGACCACGGGCATTTCATTTTCATATGACTAATCCGAACAGAATTAGCTTTCGAAAGACGTATAACACCAATAATTGTTATACTCCGTAATTGTTGTGCCCCGCTAGCAAACGGTTATGCAAGACCCTGTACATACATGGAAAATTCAGTTTCCTCCAGCCGTTCCCCCTCAAAATTCGATGATCCGCCTGAAAATGCCACTTTTTGGGAAATGACGTAAGATTAACAGGCATTACTGGAAAATGAGGCTGAATGTCAAAATTTCTTTAAGTAGATCTCTTCACGTCGATCTCTTCAGTAGATCTCGTCTCTTGAAAAGTAGTGCTCGCAAACATTGCGCCTCCATCTCTTCGCCGGGAAGCTCCGGCGTCAAGGGAACGGGTGGGAAAAGTTTCGTAACCTGGTAACCAGGTTAAAAGAGTGGCAACCGATCGGGAAGGCAAGGCAGAAATAATTAAAAAAATAAATAACTGAGAGAAGAAAAGCGAAGTGAAAAAATAAAGTAACGAGAAAAACAAGCGGGAAGACGAGAGATGGTTAGTGCTTGGGATGAAAGATGGTAATGGATTGAAAGAAGGTAAATGACGACTGTTAGCGAAATAATAGAAGCACCGGGAAAATATCTCCAAGTGACTCATGTCGGTAAGTTCAAGGACGAGAATATGGATTTTTTCTCCCATGTCGAGCGCGTAGGCAAAAACATCTTGGTATTGAGTATTCCCTCGATCCTGGGGTTGTAGGATTTCCCTCCGACGAGGAGGAGAGAAGGTGAGAAGTAGGGACACCGGTCAAATTCGCCCGACTGTAATGCAGAGCCGGCCTCGTCATCGGCATAAATAAGGGATTATGATTTTGATTGCGTATATCACGAGGTGAGAGATGTTCAACACCAAATTAGTTTTAGGTGGCGTCTTGCGCCTCGGAAACCTCTTTCTTCGCTCTTTAATCAATCGGCCGGCAGTCGGCCTTGGGTTACCTGGCTTTCCGCTGACAGATTAATTGTACCCTTCGCGTCGCTTTTCAAGTAACCTTATTTGACTCCAAAGTTGAGAGAATACAGTCGACGCTTGATATAACGAACTATATGGACGGACTAAAAAAAAAATTATTTAAACTGAAAATTCCTTATTGGGAATTTCCTTCATTTCACAGGGGAAAAAAAAGAGATATGTTAAACTCAGGTCAATGGGTGGATTGCATGAAACTGACCTTAACCTAATGCCAGCTTTAAACCTATATTAGGGGTGAAGTTAAAGCTACTTTTGTGGAGATTTTTAATGTGGATTGCACGAAAAGAAATTAACCTAACGCAGCATTAAATTCCGTATTAGTTTAATGCTACGATGACCCTACTTTAAACCTCCATTAGCACCGAAGAGGAACATCCCGCTGGCTCGACACACTTCCTTACTGCTTCATGATGTCCACGGACGATGATTTTAATATTTATTTATTTATTTCCTAAATGTTTCCGCGGGTGTACAGAAACCAGAGCGAATAAGCAGCGAATTCAGAAGATGGCCGCCCGAACTCAGCAGAAGCTCTTGACGCCCAGGAACGTGTGTTCCATGATCGACTTGAAGCAGTACTCTCCTGAAGAGGTATTGCGGAGGTACCGGTTCACAGCTCAGGGCATCCTCCTTTTGGTGGATAATTTTTGAACCCGATCTACAGTGTTTTTGGAAAGTCATTCCTTTTTTTTAATTATACGAAGTAATAACGTTATTAGTTTTTGGACTCGAACAATGCTTTTTGAGTGGAAAGAAAGAGAATTTGGTAGGATTTCATGATTTGATTGATTTATTTGTTTGCAGTAACCCTCCACGGTGCCAACATTGAGGGCGACATTTACCGGATCCGTTTAAGCTAAAATAATCTGATCTCACGATGGTTCCTTATGGGAATCAGTTTAAGGTAGGAAAGAACTCAAAAGTCGAGGGATTTGAAATTTGACTTACAATTATTGTAGGGGGGCTCAAGAGGAGTGGAAGGAGGGGTCTCACAGTGACCTCCGACCTACAGTTTTGCTGAAGTTAATGTTTGAAGTTACCGCTAAATGGACTTTGCCCGGGTTGCAATGAAATAAGCATAACTTTCACACCCTTTCTTGTTGAGATGTGCAATTAACGTTTACATACAGCTAATACATTGCTCTTTCGAATGGATACATGTGATGCGTGAAAGGTTAAAGGTCAAACTAGCGATTCACGTGGAGAGGTCCAAATCGTAAATATGCTTATTCGGGTGCCATTCCTGTCACGGATTCATTTCGCACAAAATCTAACTACAAAAGTTTAATCATACTCTCATGTAACCTCCTGCAAAATAGTACGTTTTTTCTTCTGAGCATTTTCGAGATTTTCATCAAAATTTACCCTAAATGTCAACAAGAAAACGCGACTTCGGAGGATCTCATGGAATAACTCGCCTCCCAAGTAACTTAACAAAAAATCCTTCGTAATTCTGTTAGAGGAGAGTCTCTCAATTCTGTAGACACCTCCATCGCCAGAATCCGTGCAATTATGCCATGCAATATCCTCTCAAAGGAGAGCGGTTCGAAGGCTGTTCTTTCCAATGTCCTCACTCCCCCTTGCCTGAGTCACTGCGCATGTACTTAGCTTCTGCGTACCCCAGCTCAAGAAGAGGGTTTCGTCGGTCGGTTATTCAAAATAGCATGAGGCTTCGCCATATGCCTTCGTTCAGTTCCCCTCTTGTCTCCAGATCTCCTCTCTTGTCTCTGACTATCCAGATTGCGATATTAGTTGACTAGTTGAAGGGTACGAGGACTGCAACAATAAAATAGGTCAACCACATCAAGGTCCATACCGAACGTTCAAATATTCGGAAAGACAGAGAATATAACAGATCACCAATCTGGCAACCCCTATACTTGGAGACCCCCAACGAAAAGAGAAAAAGAATCTATGGAAACGACGATAGACTCGGACGAAGCCAGACAACGACAACGTAACTCGAGGCTATGATGTACTCATCCCTTGAACAACCCCCTCTTTAGATAGGGGCGGAGGCAAACAGTTGCTAAGCACATGCGCAGTGCCACAGATAGGAAGATAGTGAGGACCTAGGGAGGAACAGCCCGTGTGGCTCCTGCTTTAAAACTTTTTTCCTCCAAGTACCAAGTGCTGACAAGCATTGATCATACCACTATTCACTCGGAAGAGCCTCTTTCTTGCAATGGCCTGACTACTTTTTGCAATTTCGCCCTGGAACGAGAGCAAAAAAAAAACAGGAAGTGATGAACACATTGAAAAAGAGTCAATTTTTTGCTAATATCAAAGTACTTCCCTGAAAAAATGGTTCAAATGATCGTCACGATACTTGGTACAGGAATGGAGGCGAGTATTCTATAAAGTCAGACGCTGCACACCTCCATTATGAATATAGTCTCGAAACGACTTCTGAAAAACGCATTTGCTTAAAAGCGGAACTCGAGAAAAAAAAAACCTTTTCTTTGACGTGCAAATGTCGGCGTTAAACTTGAGCCTGTGTTTAGGAGAATTTCTCACGGTTGACAAGATGAAAATTGCATGACGATCCGTCATGTGGTTCGGATCCTATGATCCTCTCAAATATTGCGCATGGAGCTGGAGTCATCCGCCCTCCTTTGAGAGGATGTTCCGAGACGCAATCTACGCGGAATCTGGTGACGAAGGTATTGAAAAATTGGAACACTCACCTCTAACAGAATCATGGAGGAGTTTTTGATACGTTATTTGAGAAGCAAGTAACTCCCTGGGAACATTCAGTAGTCGCAATTTCGGGTTCAATTTAGAGTACATTTTGATGTAAATCTCGAAAGTGGAGTATGAGGGGTGGAGGCGGAGAAAATGTGAAGTTGCATCCAAGGCATTCTCCTTCCATCACCACCTCGAGACCGTGACGGAGGACCGTACTTTCAGTCTAAAATTACAAATGTTAAAACAATTTTAAAATAGGAAGTGACTTTCTAAGCACCCCTGAAGAGCGCAAAACGAAGAGGAACAACGCGATACCGCCACTGCTGCAGATCTGCTGCGCTCTTCGGTACTATGGGCGCAGGTCCTTTCAGGTCGTGGTGATCTCCGATACACTCGATATCGACACCACGGCGTGTCGCATCGTTCTATCAGTGTTGCCGGCCCGAACGCGCCGCGTCTGCAACACTCGCCGTTCCACTTTGGAACTTTCCCACCGATTCCTAAACATTGCTTCTTTCGATACAGTTTTCGTAAACTGCCCCGAGTCAGCTAAAGATTGAATTCCCATTCACGCCATCTTCGATCAAAAACGGATCATAAAACGCGACTCTTCCTTGGTGCAATGAAGGACCATGGTCGCCATTTTTCGTAACTGTAGGAGGCACACGAAACGACAGCAAAGCCAAAGGCCACTGTTTTCATGGTGCTGATATTCTAACAAGCAGTACTATGTGCGTTGCTACTTATATTCTACGTTACGATCGCAGCTGTCCTGTTACTTTTTGACAAACCCTCGTACTTTTGCGGGCGTTGATTAAGAAAAAAATATCCATTTTCGAGCGTTGCCAAAACGGACGACATTCTTTCGGGTCCCTGATATACGTCATCGGAGTCGCTAATGCAAATTAGGAAGCGCTATTGTCCGTTAAGTAATGTAAATTTCTTTAAATTTCTTTGTGCAATGCCTCACTTTAAAGCTCCTTTAGCTAATACAGCTATAGGCTAATGCTAGCATTAGTTTCAAGCAATTCACCCAATATCTCTTCAAAAGGTCGCAGTAAAGAAGCAAGTCGTTTTCCAATCATAAAATAAATGCGAAGACCTAAGCGCATGCAATATCGCAAAAGTACAGCTCTCAAGAGTTACGTATTTACCTAAATGAGTACCAAATTATGCGTGATAAAATTCGGACGAGTCAGCAACGCTAATTCATCGGAAACAAAGCCCCAAATGGTTGTCGGCCGCTCTCCTTCCTGAATGAGTCTTTGAGCCGTGGTCTGCAGAGCACTCAAAGTTTGAAAAGTTTCAGGCTGACCATTCGGCCTCTGACTGGAAAATAGCCGAAGAACTTCGTAATACGGAACTGTTTTGTTCCTTCGGACGAAAAAATGACTTCGTAAAACTGTACAATTCGTTACACAGGACTTCGTTACAGAGAAACTTTCTAACATGCATGTGAATGGGCAAACGCCCAGGAACTGAAAAAAATTCGTTATATCGAGCGTCAACTGTACATTGATCTCTATTCCACATCGGAGCGCCGTCCAATCTCATCCCGCACCTCACGTACGTAGCAGTTCTTGCGTCCTGTCAACTCGTATGCATTCTGTCATTGAGGGAATATCTGCTGGTGTCTAGCGACGAAGATCCCTAATTTGGTGCTTCTCAACCTTTTTTATTATAAGGCATACTTTCGAGTTTGCTCGATCCTCGTGGCATACCGAACCAAATTTCGCAATGTCAATGTGAATATAATATTTTCATCACCCATTAATCAATGCGACCGACATTCGTCGGTCGTAGCTTGAGAATAATAAAACAGTGATGTTCTTTCTTTCCTATAATTCTGAAAATACCGCGGCACACCGGTTGCAAAGCACTGCCCTAATTGAACCTTTAGGGTTTAAGGGGTTCAATCAAGTTCCTCCTAATTGAAGCTCTCCGTCTCCATTTAGCATTTCTTGCGAAGAATACAGCAAGCATACACGTTGAAGTTACGCACCGTTTCAGAGATCCGATTGAATAGACAGAAGGGGAGGCTTCAAGTATGTATTTAAAAAATCAATACACCAGTACATAAATTAAAATATCGATCGAGGTGTTCCTATGCAGAAAAACCTTTAAAGACATTTACAAATAATATTTCTTCAATTTTAATAAATGCCAAAAGCTTCTGCAATCCCCATTAAATCCTGCGAGGGACCTAGACATAGGCGTTTTCATGTCTAGTTGTTGCTTAAAATTGATCTTTAGCCCATCACCCCCCCCCCCCTTCAGGGTCATTTCATACAGCTGCTAAATTGGGAAGGTAAACTATGGTTACCGGGAAGCAGAAGAACTTTCCACCTTTGCAAGGGAATATCACCGTTACGCCAACCAAGACCTGCCCATTCATGCGGACCTCAACAACCTGCTACCATCTCGTCTCAAATAAATGAAGCTGTTCTGGGTTACTGTAGATGCTTTCCATTGAAAGAACCGTGCAGCCTAGAGGACCAATGGAAAAAGACCTGGAACAATTCCCATGTCCCAAACAGAGACCTAGTCTTGAAGCCAGCTCAACAACCTCTAGGAGCATCACTTCCCCGCAAACAGTCGTCTACCATCAACCGTATCCGCGCAGGACACGGGTGGTGCGGCCACCTCTTCCATAGATGGAAAATAAAATAATCTCCATCATGTGATTGCGGAGCCCCTGATCAAACCCTGCAACACATCACAACGCATTGCCCAAAGAGAAAATTCTCAGGCAGTCTCCAGGACATACACCACCTGACATCTGAAGGACAATCCTGAATATCACACTTGGATATAGACATTTAAGATGCAACTTAATGTCCATACCAAAGGAGAAAAATAAGTCTCTTGGCCAACTTCTATCAATTCTCATGAGAATTTTTCCACTCGCCTCGAAGTCTATCGCTTTTTACTGCGGCCTTTATTGAAAATTGGGACCATTTCTTATATTCTGGGTCGATTTTCTCCTCCCACTGTCCAAAAATACAGGATTATTTGCACTTGTTCCATAGAGGGATGTTACAAGAATCCAATGGCACTAAGATTGCTTGTTGTCTCCAAGGGGATAGAGAACGCGAGACTTTAATTTCCAATTTGCAGATGATGACAGATGACAATGAGTTTATTGTGTTCAATGTCGTAGGCATTATTACACAAATATTTGCCGATTTGCATGAAACCTTGAATCCTCACGCGCAGTTCTTCCTTGTTGGACCGGACCTCCCTCTCGCTTCACTCTCCCATTGTTCCTTCGCCTGTCCCGGCACGCATGCACGCACCTCCCCTCTCGTTGCTTCTTTCCTCTCTTCGCCAGTCTCACTGGCTCCTGGTGCTGACTCTTCCTAGTAGAAGAGACGCTGCACTTCCCATGGGCGATTAAAGGCCCTGTTACACTTGGCGAGTACTCGCCAGCGATTGGGCGAGTGTAGTGTTACATTAAGAGAGTGCTCGCTAGCTAACCATTTACTCTCTTCAAAATGCCAGTCGTATATTAAATGAATGGGGAATTCGCTTTTTTGAACCCCTATGTACAGATGTCGATAAATATGAAATATACAAGAATGACTGCCCGCAGAAAGTACATGTTCTCATCAGTCACGGTGGATCTAGTCGACACTGTGATGGTACGCCAACTGTCAAAGTGACACTTAGGGTAATTGTATAGTACGTGTCCACTTGAGGAAAACAGTAAACATTGTTAATTTAGGCATGACCATCTCTCAGGGGCGTACGCAGGGCGAGGGGAGGGGGTGGTTGCGATGAGGCTGACGAACTTGGGGGGGCATTGTCAGGGGCATTGTCAGGGGGCAAACCCCCCCCCCCCCTGCGTACTACGTAGTTTACTGATGGCAGCCCCTGCCATCGGTATAGTACGTGTCCACTTGGTCAAGGCCGTCCACTTAAACCCACATTTACTGCGTGAAAAAAAAATTAAGAACTCTAAAACATCAAAAGCACTGAACCCTTCTTTCCAAGCCCGGGATGGATCATCACACTGGGTATTACCGTCTGATCTCAGCAAATATGTCCCGGAATTCTGATTTATTTTTATTATTTATTTTATTTATTTGTTTTTTTTTGGGGGGGGGGGGGGGGGGGGGGGGAAGGAAGGGGGAAATAGTGCGACAGAGGTGTGCTTGGCACCTAGCATCTCCCATACACGGGAAGAGAAGTCCAGACAGGAAAGGAGAAAAAAGGAGGTGAGAGAGGGGAAAAAAGAACCACGGATTGTACAGTATGCTGGCCATTTCAGGTACAATTTGGAAAAATCCCTCCACTTACCAACCGATTCACCTAGAAAGGCAGTTTAGGTGCCAACTGAATCGTGGGTCAGTCCATCACAAGATAGTCGCAGAGGAAAGTATCTCGTGGTTGTTGGCAGGTAAAGAGATATGCAGGAGAAATGCGGCCGATTGCTGCATGATTCTTCGACATGGCCTATCAAATCGTTCTTGGTCCGAGGAGAATCAACACATTCGCGCATAATTCGGAAGGGCCATTTTTCATAGTCGTCTCGAAGGATCTGAGTAGAACACTCGAAATATATTAATCTCGTTATGAAGATACTCAGCCCAAGTGGTGGAACTAATTCCGTATCCCGATTAGGTCTTCCTCGTGACTCGGTGATGCAAAAGATCTGGAAATGAGCCCTTGTTTTGGGAGAGAATGAGGCTAGAAATATAGAAAGCCTTTGTCCATGAATTTGGATGTATTTTGATCATTTGATCTCTCTGCATGCTGCTTTGGATAAATTGGATTCCTTATGAAGTTTTAGGACAACCTTTCATTAATGTCAAGCGAGTGACTTTTTTGCTTCTTGTTTGCATTTTAATGTCCCAAAAATGACAAACTGTGCAGACTAATTTAAATTAACCGGCAATTATAGTCTCGTGTTCTCTATCCCTTAGAGACAACAAGC